TCATCTCTGACCTAGTCCCCAACAGTCTGTTCCCCGTGAACCCTCATGATCAGATCAGTCTTTGCTGCCTGCGTTTCTCTTGGTATCCTGGCCTTCCAAACTCCATTGTGGGGGTCCACAGAGAACCCAGCTTGTGGCTTGTTTTCATCTTGACTCAAGGTCAGAGAGTCAGAGCTTGTATTCCCCACAACACACAAGACCACACAATAGGATGTTTGGCCCAAGGTGTGGTTGCCAGGTGTCTTACACTTTGAGGCCTAATTACAGGATGCTTTGCCTAATGGTTATCAGGTGTTTTGTACCTTGAACTGTGATGACCTTGAAAGGGGGAGGTCTTTTTGCTCCCCTTATTTTTGGTATATAAAGGCTGTGAATAATCAACTCAGGTGTCTGTGGTATTGACCCAGAGCCCTCCCAAAGCTGTCCAGTGTCTGTCTTTTTCTTCATCTAAGTCTATATTTCATAGCTATCATTTCTCAATCCTCACTCCTCTATTCAAGGACCCTTCGACAAATCAAGCAGGACCCCAACACTCCATTGGAATGACACATTAATCTCTGCATACCACATTTCTAGGTCTTCTCTAGCCCATAACTCCAAATGTTTCTGTAGCCCTGCTACAAACCAATTCCACAGATCTAAGGACCACATGACCAGGCTGACCACAGCAATGGCCCCACTCCTCAGCATCGGAGCTCCGTATTTGTTAATATTCATGGCCATGACAAAATATCTGACGAAAGACAACTACAGAAAGGTAGGGCCCGGTTTGAGCGAGAGTCCGTCTAGGCAGGAAAGTTTCGGCGGCAGGAGTGGGAGGCAGCTGGGTACAGTGGGTGGCAGTTTGGAAGCAGAAAGAAACAGCTCGCTTGCTGTCACCTTTTTTCCTCCTATTTAGCCCAGAATCCAAGCCCAGGAGGTAGAGTCACCCACATCCAGTGGGATGCACCCTTCTCAGAAAGACCTCCCTAGATGCCCAGAGACGTGTCTCCTAGGTGATTCACAGCCAGCCTGGGCAACATGATGAGATCCTTAAAAGAAAAGGGGGAGCAGGACAGGGGTCTATCAATAATTCTAGCTGAGACAAAACTACAAGGCTAAAACTTTTTTTTAATTCAAATATTTTTTACTCTCTTATCAAAGTTGGACTAAGCTAAATCTAAACATGCCAGCCTAGCATCGACAATGAGACAAAGGCATTCTATTCTATAATTTTTTTTTTTTTTTTTTTTTTTTTTTTTTTTTTTTTTTTTTTTTTTTGCCAAGCTGGTCATTTTCCCTTTTTCTTTTGTAGCAACACATGAAAAATTCCAGTCAGTGTCTTCTGAGGGTCTCTGGTGAGTGGCTGTTCCTGCTTCCTAAAAGTCTTTCCTCGGATTTTTGTGAGACGAAGGTGGAGCCCACTCACTGCTCTCCTGCAGTGATCATAAGACAGGAATGTTCAGGCTTCCCATGTGACTGCCCCTTCCTGCCTGAGCCCTGTGCCACACTAGCGTCAGGAAGGAAGCTCATCTTTCGGCTTTGAGATCACAGAACGGGCTCCAGGGAATCTGACATCACTCCAGAGAAGGCCACGTCACCACCATCCACGTCAAAGCCACAGCTGATTAATCAGGAGGGCTGTGCTTTCTTTTCGTGCCAACACTGAGCATCTGGGAGAACTCGACAACCTGAGAACACCTCAGGAGCTTCCTGGAGCTGGCAAGTAGTTCTTGGAACAGAAACAAAAGTGGTGGCCGATCCCTTTTACACATCCTCCTTTACAAGGGGGAATATATCTTCCCTTGGAAAGAACCCTCAAGTAGAAGCTCTCTCTCTCTCTCTCTCTCTCTCTCTCTCTCTCTCTCTCTCTCTCTCTCTCTCTCTCTCTCTCTCTCTCTCTCTCTCTCTCTCTCTCTCTCTCTCTCTCTCTCTCTCTCTCCCTCTCTCTCTTCCTCCTAGGCACATAAGATTTCCTCTGGGGCTGTATCTACAGAAACCGTCACCCTTCTCTGGTGCACTACAGATGACACTGCAGCTTCTCTGTGTCTAAAGGTGCTTTGGATCTTCCTCTAGCTAAACAGCATTTTCTCGTTGAAAAGAAAAAAACAATAGTAAAATCCACTCAGCCTGCCCTCTGCACCAGCTGCTCCCTCCTTCCTCCTCAGCCCAAAACTAAGAGCCGCCACAGCTGTCCCTTCTGGCCGCTGCTCTGCACCCTCTGCAGTCTGGCTTTAGCGTTGCCGGTCCACCGGAACGGTTCTTACCAGTGCGTCCAACCTTCAACACCCTTGGTCTCTCATGCCTAACCTCCCAAGCTAAAAGGAAGAGAGCTGGGGAGCCCGCAGCAGCGTATCCTGGGACTCCTGAGAAGAGGCCCAGTCTGCTCCAAGCAACCAGTTATATCCATCTCCTCTACTCCAGAGCTGGGAAAGGGAGCCAGGAAGAGGCCCTCTGGGGTCTTTAAGTCCTTTGCTTGGGGATGCCATGCTGTAGTGGAGGATGAAAACACCAGCTCACAGAGACCGGGGTCCTAACGAGAAGGGGAGGTGTCACCCATTCCCCAACCATAAGCAACGTGTGTTATTCGCTCTGGCTGCCCCGGGATTCACAGGGCAGGGAGAAGCCTCCCCCCCCCCCCCAAGCCCTGCTTGTTTCAAACACTGAGTAACTAACTAGCTACAGCCTTTCAAAAAGCTCCAACCAGGGACCCAGCGCTAGCTACAGCACAGCCCTGCCTCTCTCTACTCCACAGCCCACATACCCGGAGTCCAGAAGTGAGAGTGAGACCCCAAGGGCAGAGCATCCTCAGTCAAACCACAGACTGACAAAGATGAGGTCAGAGTATCTTCCAGTCCAATGTCGGGGATTTTTGGTTGTTTTTTTTTTCCCAAATGACATCATCCAGACACATCCTTGTAGGAGGCACACGGCAGGCTCAATGTCTGCAGAAGCAGATCCCCCCAGTCTAACATCCCTCCTCCTCTCACACTTCATTTCACTCCCACCACAAATGCTTTTGAAGGTGCATCCCATACCATTAATCTCAACTTGAATAGTGATAAATGATTAGGACTTGGCCCCTGCTCTGAAGAAACTTACTAGAGAAAATAAATACCAAGTTGTGTCTACCACAAGGCATTGTGGGAACAGTTCCATGAGAGTACAAAGCACCAAAACATCAAATTCAAACTCCACACTAGGCTGGAGGTGTAGGTCAGCAGTGAGTGTTACCTAGCAAGACCCTAGGTTCCACGCCTAGATGGAAGGTGAGGAGTTGCTATTCCTGGATGTCTTCCAGACAGCTTTTTATAATCTACTTAGATTTGGAATTCTCCTGTCAACTCTTTTGTGTCTCTCTGTTCATTATCCTTCCTGTGATGCTGTTCTGACCATTGCTGTGTCTCAGGTACACACGCTATCATCTGTGTTTACCATCTTGGAGAAAATCAAGACATTGCATATTCACAAATGTGGGGCAGACTGAAGAGATTTCAACGCGCAGCCTCTGAGGAGGCTTTGGAAAGGAGGACAAGGAAGGCTTGACCCCTGCTGGACACTGCCATATGCAGCCCAACATAGAGGTTCTATATAGGTGACATTTCCCGTCAGCATCTCAGCAGTAGGGAAGAGGTCGTGCACTGCGGCAAGCTGAACCACCACACGACATGCAAAGCCACTATGACTGGAGTTTAACAAACTCTCAGAATCAATTAACATGAGCCACATGTTTACAGAGAGCAAAACTCTCCAGTTGACGGTTGGTCCCCTCACAACCTACAGTGACTCTCTCCGTAACTATTCTTCCCTCACACATTTTGATGGGCATTTCGTTGTTTTTTAACATTAGTAGAAGAATGGTGATCACTACAAAAGATTTAGAAAACACAGAAAAGTTGATTTATTTTAAGATTCACTATTTTATATGTATGAGTATTTTGCCTGTATGCCTGTATGTATGTATACCATGTGTGTGCCTGGTGTCCACAGAAGCCAGAGGAGGGCATTAGATCCCTTGGGATTGAAGTTACAGATGGTTATGAGCCACCAGGTGGGTGCTGGGAATCAAACCCAGGACTTCAGCAAGAGCAACAAGTGTTCTAAAGCACTGAGCCATCTCTCTAGCCCACAAAGTTGATTTTCAAAATCATATACATTTTGTAAGCACTGTCAATATTCTGGTGTATTTATTTCCACCTAACTTGTTTAATTTCATCGCTATGTGAAATTAATCTGCTCCATAATACAACTCTGGTAAAAATCACCAATAAACTAAGTTACAAACTACTGTCTATAATCTCAATTATGCACTAGGTCACAGATCATATCTCCATGACTGTAAAACAGGTGACAGATTTCATTTTGAAAGATTAAACTCAACGGGAGAGAATTGGTCAAATGGACTACTGAATGTCTGACATGAGCCAATAAAGCTCATTTTTCATTTCTCTTTCCAGTGGCCTAGTGGATGGAAGTAAGACCTTGGTAAATGTGATGGCCAATTCTGGCCGTCAACTTGATACCCTTGAGAACTCATCAGATCAGCCTTGGGCATGTCTATAGAACATTTTCTTGATTGTTTATTGCTTTAGGAGTACTTAGCCTATAATGGGCAGTACCATCCCTTGACAGATCAGCCTGGGCTGTTTAAGAAAACTAAATGAACAAGCCAGAAGAAGCAGCCAGTAAGCCATGTTCCTCGCGGTCTCTGCTCCGGCTCCTGTCTTAGCTTCCTTTGATGGTGGGACTGCAGCTTATAAACCTTTCCTTCCCGAGTTGCTTTTGGTCAGTGTTTCAGCACAGCAACATAAACCAAACTAAGGCAGTTAATTATCACTTCTGATATAAACAGATCTGAGTGATTATTTATGTGAGATTGTGGCGAACGCACACATAGTGCTAGCAATGTTTTCCTGCCAAGTAATTCAACTACTAATTCTTTTGCTAAGGTTTCCCCCTTTGCACCCTTCCATAATAGATGCACTGTTCAGTAAGAATTAAAACAAAAGGCACTGGCTTACCTGATTAAGAAACTGTGTAGTCCAACATCAAAATACCTGATTAAAAGAGACAAAACAAGAATTATGAATAAAACATGTTTACAGCAATGGTAGACTTGATAATTTACATTCCAAGCACTGTGGAGATGTAGCTACCCTGGGGTACTTGAAGTGTGGCCCTGCAGTAGCAGCAGCAGGCTGCGGCAGAGGCTTGGGCCATACCACCAATGTCCCGTTCAGCAGTTCTGGGACCAGGCCCAGAAATTTTCTTAAGCCACGTGGTTCTAATGCATGGGTGCCTGCAAACCTGAGCTCTCTCGAGAATAAAGCCCAAGTGATGGATGCCCATGTACCCTCCACACTGCGGTAGGAAGGTCCTTCGATAACACTAGTTACTAGTTCATCTACCCAAAACTAAATGAAATGTGTTTGAAAGCCCAGAGCCACACAGTGGAAGGGAGGAGGGTGGGTTACTGCGGTCTTCTGAGCCTGCCCCTTGTGTTTCCTGCCACTCTCCACCCGCAAGCACCCTGTCCCACAATTGGTCTGCCTTGAGCACAGACTGTAGAAGGAGGGCACCTCCCTGTGCTGAGGCCTCTTGAACCCTGGACAAAGCCTTCCCCACACCACTCAGCTGCACAGTCCACACGGGACCAAGAACAGCTGCCGACATGGCCCGGGCACAAAGTTGTAATCATACCTAAAATGTTCTGAGGGTTTTGTTTTTGTTGTTGTGACTTGGTGTGGTTCCTGAGAATGAACTTTGCCAATGACAAGGACAGTGTCATGCCACAATATCAAAAGATTTGAAGTGCTGGGAAGGGAGGTCTGCCTGTAGGGACACTGGCTCATATAATTTGATTTGACATTGACACTGGGTACTTTCTAAAATTATATTATTGAAGGCAAATTTCACATAAGCAAATTTCCACACTACAGGGGCTGGAAGGACAGCTCAGCAGTCATGAGCACTGACTGTATTTGCAGAGGACCAGAGTTCGAATTCCAGAACCAACAAACTGGGTCACAACTGTAACTCCAGTACCAGGGAATCTGACAGCCTCTTCTGGCCTCTGCAGGCAGCAGGCATGCATGTGATATAAAGACATATATACAGGGAAAACACTCCTCATACACATAAAATTTTAAAATGTTTTTTAAAACTTAAATATCCACACCACAAATAATGAGCGTAAACTTACAATCCTGGAGGAAGAAATGGCTGCAGAGAAAAGCCTCCAGTGTGGCTGCCTGGCGCACATCTAGCAGGAATCTCTGGAGCCTCCTAAGGGTTCCATAACCTAAAGGGTCCTCAACCCTCACAAACAGCACCACCGCCTGGAGACCTACCAACTGTTCACACCTGTAAGCCTAGGGTGGGGCCTTCCACATTTAGACCACAACACTTACTGAGTATCTAGAACATGGCAAGCGCCATGGTCACTGCTCGGCTGTGTCTAGAATGTGGCAAGCGCCATGGTCATTGCTCGGCTGTGCACACCGTAACTGCTGAGAGGCGCTGGTGGCCCTGTTTATAACTGAAGGAACTAGAGTTCAGAGGCTAAGGAATCCACACTGAGCCCATGGCCAGGAGAACCCACAGTTGGGAGTCAGAGCTAAAACACATGATCCTTGAGCTCTTTCCAAGCACCCCCTGAAGGCACCCACCAGCTCATGGCTTCTCAATGTTAACAGCAAAATAAACAAACAAATAAATAAGTGTATTATGTGTTTACAGACCATCCTGCCTCATCACCTGACCCCGGCCTCTGCTTCTCCCAGTGCAGCTGCCCTGCTCCCTCAGTTCCTCTGAGCACACACACACACACACACACACACACACACACACACACACACGTGTTCCTCCAATGCCCCAGGCATCCCCTAAGGCACAGTCTCTCACTGTTTCTCACTGTTCCTCGCCTGAAAGTGCTGTTTACTTCATAAACCGGTCCCTCCACCTTCTCCACCTGATTTTGCTTTGCCTGGCTTCAGGCATCCTCAGTCTCTCTAATCACAAACACTCTGTAGGGGCCAGCAGCCCCCTGGGGGCTTGTGTCTGGCAGGCTCTAGAAAGTCATGTGACTTGCTGGGCTGCAGCTCCCAGGTGAGGATGGAAAGATCTTATTCATAGGGGGATTACAGGAATTAAGTGATATAATGCAGAAATATGGCTCAGCATGGCACCTGGTACACGGGAGTCCTCAGTTTTCATGGGCCTGCCAGATAACTCAGCGGAAGCATGCTCTACACAAAGGACCTAAGACACCTCACAATGCAGCCCAGTGTAGCACGAATCTTTAAAATTCTTATTAATAAAAACAAACCCAGGGGCTGGTATTGGGGTGAATGCTGGAAGATCAGAGAGACAGAACACAAATCACAGCTGCCTCACCTCGCCAATTCCTCAGCTGATCTTGTTTCCTCAGACTGGAAGCCTCTGAGTCCTCATCCAAATAGATATCAGCTGAACTGATGCTAAAAGCCTAAAAGCTTAACCAGGCTAGTTCCTGGTTTTCACGCCTTTTATACCTTTCTGCTTCCTGCCATCACTTCCTGGGATTAAAGGCTCTTGTTACCATGCCTGGCTGTTTCCAGTGTGGCCTTGAACTCACACAGATCCAGGCGGATCTCTGCCTCTGGAATACTAGGATTAAAGGTGTGAGTGCCACCATTTTCCGGCCTCTATGTCTGTCTAGTGGCTGTTCTGTTCTCTGACCCCAGATAAATTGATTAGGGTGCATGATATATTGGGAAATACAATATCACCACAGCCCATAAGAGGGCACACAGCCCTAGGGCCCAAGAAGGGCAGCAGGCAAGCTGTGGGGATGGGCTTTGAGGAGGGGTGGCAGTGCCTGGATAGCAGAATCAGGGAGAACTCAGCAGTGACCAAGACAAGGACTGGAGCACAGGGAATACCTGCCCCAGTCAGTTCTGGGCAGCCCCTCACACACTGCCTCCTTCTACTGATAGGTTTCTTTGTGTGGCCACTCATTCGCTCAGTCAATACTGTATTCATGCCTTCTATGTGCCATGCACTGGCCTTCTATGTGCCATGCACTGACCTGGGTCCTGGTCACAGGTCAGTGGCAAAACAAAGTCCTCAACTCTCATGGCTCTCACATTCTGGCTGTAAGAGGTAAATAATTAGTGTGTCAATAAAAATCTACTGGGAACAAAATACAAACAAGGTACCAGCGTAGTGTGGCCCTAGAGCTGTGGCTTATTTGAGGAGGGAACAGTTTTTGCATGATCAGAAAGGGGCAGATATTCCGGGACCCAAAGGAAAGATCCCGTCTAGAGAGTCTCCAAGGAGACTAAGCCCCACGCTGGGATGGTGAGCATGGCTGGAGCCAGGTGGTAAGGGGAAATGGGAAACAGCAAGGCTGAAGAGAGGAGTAGGCACCAGACCTTAAGGGGTCAGGTGCACCAAAGAGCCTGGGTTTTATCCGAGCACTGACAGGAAGCAGTAAAGGCTTTCAAGAAAAGCAGGTGCGATTAGAAGGTAACTGGTCCCATAAGCTCATAGGGAGTGGCACTATTAGGAGGTCTGACTTTGTTGGAGTAGGTATGGCCTTGTTGGAGGAAGTGTGTCACTATAGGGGTGGACTTTGAGGTTTCCTATACTCCAGATACCACCCAGTGTCACAGACCATGTTCTGTTGACTGCAAGATGTAGGTAAGACTTTCAGCTCCTTCTCCAGCACCATGTCTGCCTGCTGTGATGATAATGGACTGAACCTCTGATCTGTAAGCCATCACCTCAATGAAATGTTTTCCTTTATAAGAGTTGCCATGGTCATGGTGTCTCTTCACAGCAGTAGAAACCCTGACTAAAAGAGAGGGCTTGTTTGTTTTATGTTTTGGAAAGACAAGATACAGTTCAATATGTCAATTAAAAAGATCAAATTGGCTGTCAGGAAGAGATTGGGTGGATGATAAGAGAGGAGGTCACAAGAGTCATTTCGGTCCAGGAGAGCAGTAACTGTCACTTCCCTGGAGGAGTGTGAGGACAGCTGAGGACAAACGAGGGCAGGAAGGAGTGGCTGAAGCTCCGAGAGCCCTGGACTGCCTCATTCTGCTCAGCCTCACACCAGTGACCCAGGTCTCTGGCTTCCTGTGGGTCCCCCACAGCAAGGCCTGGTGGCCTGTGTCCAGACTGAGGGAACAAAGTGGCCAAGCTGAACTTGGAAAATGGTTCACCTACTGGGAGAGCTGTAAACCACCAAGACTGTTCCTCTTTATAATTAACTTGGGTGATAACAGAATAAACTTACCATCTTCCCCATGTTTGAGCACACACATTAGCATCATCAAGCACATCCACAGGAGGGCAGAAGTCACACTCAGCAGCAGAAGGGGCTTCACTGTGAAGCCACGGGCTTCAGCCCCTGACAACAAACCCACTCCCCTCAAAACACATTGCCAAAGCTGTGTGTCCATCACGGCCTCCATCTTCAGAACTCCATCTCCCCAAATGAGACTCTGTTCCTATTAAACATCAGTTCTCTCCCTAATCCCTGGAAACCATCATTCTTTATGTCTCTTCAAATTTGACAGTTCTTGGTACCCCATATACATGGGGAAGATCAGCTACATCTCCTTCTTGGTGTCCTGTACTATGGAAGGATAGTCCACCAACTAAGATCTTCACCTTCTCTCCCCCTACCTGTACCAGGAGCTCATTTCTAGACACTACCTTTAAGTACATCATCTATTGAGTGTTTAAAAATTAAACATTCAAAAAAAGACACATTATAAAACAGAACTCTGAGAGGCAAAATTTGTCTTGACATAAAAGAGAATATTCTAGGAATCTGCAATATCCTAATAAGGCAGCAAGTTTCTGGTCACCACTCAAGCATTGGCAACAAAGGGTTAACAGGAGACTTGGGAGTGATCTCAGAGTCCTCCTGAGCTGGGCATGGAGGCAGGGGCAGGAGGATCATGAGTTCCATCCCAGCTTGGATGACACAGAGAGTTCCACACCAGATAGAGCTACATAGTAAAATGTAGCCGGAAATTTCTAGGCCCCGCCTTGCCCAGCAGTCCAG